CCCCGGGCGCCCGTTGCACCAACTCCCAATGCATGCACACTATCGGCGGTCGATTGCAGCGCGCCTACTGTTCTCGGCATGGTTCAGAAAAAGTACAAGACTGCGGTTGCAGCGAATACAGTGGCCCAGGGAGCCACAAGCTGCAGGACGACGTGGCTCGACAATAAGAAACGGCCAGTATCAGGTGTGGTGAACTTCAAGCTAGATCCAAAAGCCTGTACATGGCGTGTTGCTTAGGTGCACCCACCCTCCTATGTTCCTCTACCTAGGTGCTCATTGTTGGCCTGTAGCATCTCCTTCCACTTGGAGGCCGCGTTCGGGGCAGGCGCCTGCTTTTTAAACATTGAATCGATCATCCTCTGCTTCTTCTTCCCATTCTTGAAGGCCCGCATCAGGTCCCCGTACAGCTGCTCGGCCGGGTTGCCGCTCTTGACAAAGAGTCCCAGGAGGGTCACGAGGGGCGTCTTCAACTGGTGCTCCTGCGAGGGGTGCCGGGATTTCTTTCTTTGTCTAGGTTATCTGGAACAATGACTCTGCCACGTCCCCAGTTTTTCAACGAGGTGCGTCGGGGAACGGACAAGCACGGTGACCCTTTCTACGTGATTGCGGTAAAAGGGAAGAGTGGTCTGAAGTGGAAACGCACATCAGAGGCGATATACTTGACAGGCAAGCACGGCTCTGCAAACCGAGTCCCCACTGCGGTCCATGTCACCCCCGCGATTGTCGTGCCTGTCACCGCACGCACTGCCACCAAGAGAACATCAAAGTTCCCTGGCTACTTGACCCAGGTTCGGGGACAGTATCCCTATGCGTTCTCTGGAGCCACTTGGCAGTCGCCCGGTGGCAGGGCATACCAGAAGCATCACTATCCAACAAGAACAGGTGCAAAGGGTGCGCTGAGGTGGAGGCTGGCCTCTGGCGAACCATCAAGGAGCCGACCGGCAAAGGCACGGGTGCCATCCAAGAGACAGCAAGAGCTTCTAGCACGTCTGAACGTAGCAGCTGGGACTAGTGCAGGTGGGAGACGTTATGCACAGAACCCAAAGACCGGTGTTTGGAAGCTGGTTAAAGGCCAAAAGCGACCCAAGCGGCCAGCAAAGTTCCCCAACTACTTGACCGCGGTCCGTGGTCAGCATCCCTATGCGTTTTCTGGTGCTAGATGGCAGTCCCCTGGCGGGCGGTTCTGGGAGAAGCATCACTATGCAACAAAGAAGGGAACAAGGGGTGCGCTGAGGTGGAAACTAGCGTAATCAGTGCAGTGTAAACCTGACCCCTTACCATGTAGTATTCAAAGTCCAAGGGTAGCCCCATCCTGACAGCGTAGGCCGGGTCTTCAGCCTTCTCAGATTGCTTGTCCTTAGAGTTCCCCGTGTCGATCAGAACGTACGGGACTCTGTCACCAGGCTTTGGCCCGGAGCCAGGGTCCCGCATCTCCAGCTTGCGCGCCACCGCCAGGTGGGGTAGGTCGAGGTTCTTGTAGCCAGTCCTGAGCGCTTTCGTCAGCGTCAGCTTCTCGATCGGGATCCTGCCCTCGAGGAGGTCCTTGACCACCTTGCGAGCCTGGACGCGGGCGCCCATGACGTCCCACTTGTACAGGATGGAGTCGAGGATCGCGTTCGAAACCTCCCGGACAAGGGGCACGCTGTCTCGTCTCACCAGCTGCAGGCCCTTTGTGTCGATTCCCTTGGGCTTGGTCGGGTCCTTCTCGTACTTGAGCCCCGTGTACCTGTTCGTGCGAGAGCATGATGCAACTTTCTAAGGTGGTTGCACGGAAGATGCCAAGGCAGTGCAACCACCTTGTGAGCAGCAGCAAGGCCACCGATCCACCAAGGAGGTGCAAGCTGACGGCCATTGAAGGCAGCGTCAAGTGCGCCGTGCATAAAGGGAAGGCCATCCGAAAGTCGTCCGTTCGCAAGGAGAGAACGAGCACAAAGACACGGAAGACGAGAAAGTGATTGAGAGTACCTCTTCTTCCCAATCAGCAGCAGCGGGCAGTAGACCTTTTCGAATTCCAGCTTGTTCGGCCGCTTGAACGTCTTCGTGATGAGCTCCGAGGCCTCGTTCCCCAGCCTGAACGCCTCGTGCATGTCGCGCAGGTCGTCCTTGAAGGACACGAAGATGGAGTCCGTATCCTGGAAACAGAAGATATTGTCAGTTGACAATCTCAAATGACAGAACGTCAGCTGATAGACCGTCAAGTTGACAGGATGTCACATACTCAACCTTCAAGATCCCAGACAGCTGAACATTCCCGGAGGTGCCTCTTTTACGCTCACTCCGTAGACGACCTGGCTGCCCGGGTAGCGCGTCTCCACCATCTGCTTGGAGTGATCGATCATGTGCCGGCCCGTGGACGTGACGGCTGCAGCAATCTCTACGCATGGTAGCATGCCCCTCGTCGCGCCACAGAACCCGTACACCGAGTTCATCATGATCTTGTAGGCCAGCTGTTTCCTGCCATTGAGCAAAAGAAGAAATTTGTGGTTTGGATCATCGCGTTGCCATGCAGGAACATGCTGCAAGATATGGCAGAGGAGAGCGCAGTAATTCTGAACAACTTTGGCAAGGACTCACCCGTTCATGATCGCCTCGAGAGCCCTGTCCCCCTGCCTTTCAGCGGCAGCCATGACCCCTTTGGCGTCCTTCCGCCACACGGCCAAGTCGCTCAGGAGCTTTGAAAGCACTCCCTCACGGCTCTGCACAAAGTACGCTGTCTTCGGCCCCGAAGGTTCCTGCCATTCGAACTTGGCATACTCCACTCCTGGGATGTTGAGGTACCGGGGGTCCATGACGAGGGTGTCGTACGACATGTTGTGGGCGCGGATGATGCTGCACGAGTAATTGCAAGTTGCATGTATCTGAAATACACACGGCCTGAGGCTCGCGCAGATGCGCGGATGAGCAGGCGTTTCATACCCCCCTCCTATAGCAAAAAAGAAGGGGTCCCGAATTTTGAAATACTTTTCAAAGTTCGTCTCCATCCGTGTATATGCGGAAGCTCACCGTTGTTTACAGTATCATGCGGTTTTTGAATGGATCCAACAGATGCCTCAAACAAGCCTTCAGTTGCTTTGCAGCATTTCTCACCTGGGGTAAAGGGAGGCAAAGTCGAGCGTGACGATGCACCGCATATACACGTCGGTCTTCGCGTCCAAAACGGTGGCCCCCTCGTACTTGTCGCTCTTGTCACCTGCTGACCTCTTAGCACCGTTCTCTCGTGGCATCACAGGGATGACGTAGCCGAGCGCCATGGTGTACTTTAGGATGAGGGAGAAGACCTTGATCTGCATGCCCCGTTTGAGCAGGTAGTCGACCGGGACGCAGCTGCACTTGGCCATCTCGATGGCGTTCCCCACCGTGCAGAGCTTGTTTGCAATCTTCAGGGGTAGCGCGGTGTCTTGCACGCAGTACTCTGCGATCTGAGTGATGCCTGCAGAGCTGCCTTCCCGAAAGAGCCGGAAGATCTCCTTTGGGGGTAGGTCGACCTTCTGGTTGCTTGCGCCCGACTCAGGCAGCATCGTCTTGGAGACCTCCTTCAGGCTGTAGCTGGGAAGCTGCAATGGAAGAAGTGACGTCATGTGGCTTCTTTGTCCTCGTGTCCTGCCTCTTCACTCAGGCAAAGGTCAAAGGATTGTCCAGAATGGTAGCTCACCTTGTGCTCGCGCTTGACAGCCTCCATGATGTCCAGGTGGAGGACCCCGGGCGTCGTCACCAGGTTGTATGCGTTGCTCCCAAATGCTGCAGACTGGAGGGTCATCTCTTTGGAGGTACTCTCCTCGGCCACGAGCTTTCCAAGTATCAACGGCCTGATCTTGCACCTCGCGGCCCGCTTGAAGATGTAGTCCATGTCGAACTGGAAGGTGTTCCAGCCGAGCAGGATGTCGGCGTCTACCCTGCGCAAGAGCCTGATGAAGGCTTCGAGGACCTCCCGCTCCGTGTCAAAGCTCTCCACCTCAACGCCCAGGATCGGCCGACACTCCTTCAAAGTGACGATGTGCTTGAGGACGGGCTCGGGCTGGCCGAGGATCTGAACGGTAGATCCAATCTGGATGACCTCGCAGCCTTCTCGGAGGGCGTCCGGGAAGCCATCGTCAGCCGAAGCGCACTCGATGTCGAAGCTGACCTGCAATCAGAGGTAGCAGTCTACAGCCTTGTACATCGAGAAGAACAGGTATGCGGCTAGAGCAAACAAGAGTAAGAAGAGGAAGTTTCTTGTTGACTTTTCTGTACTGGTCAGGCGTACGCCGCCCCTGTCAGATATCTGTTGCATGCCCCGGTAAGACAGCCAGATGAAGATGGACGTGATGAACGTGCAAGCGGCTGTCAGCATCCAGCGGATGAAGCAGCCATTGGGGCTGTCTAGGATTGAGGTCAGAGGCCCAACCATTACTTAGTGGTAGCAGAGATTTTGTTAGC